AACATATAAAATACCATGCCATGACATGAGGATGGAGTTCATCTCTGCACAGGTTTTGGGGACATGGAAAGGAGCAGCTTACCCCAGGTACACCACCTGCATGTCCTGTGGACTGAAACAGACCTTGACATGTGCAGCATGGACAGAAGAGCAAATTGCAGATGGTTTGAGTCTTGTAGGTGGTGGTGTGGGCAAGAATAGTTGCAGAGAAGAGAGAAGCCTTGTTGAATGCAGCTCTAAATGAAGTCACATATAATACAGAGTTAGAGATGGTGTCTGTCAGGGACCTGTAAGCAGGAATGTGCTGTCACTGCAGCATGAGTTAAAAGGTTATTTATTCCCATTGAATTTCGTTGGCACCCTGTCAAAGATCAGTTGTCTATAAATGTGAGGCTTTGTATGTGGACTCTTGTGCTGCTCCACGATGAGTACGTCCACCCTATTCCAGGAGGTTCAGCATCCTGACGTCTTGTCCCTATCARTATTTCTGTGTTTCATGTTTTGCAATAGGAATGTGAGTTCTCCAACTGTGTWGTTGGTGTTCAGGACTTTTAGGCAATTCTAGGTTCCTTGAATTTCCATATCAATTTCAAGATGAGATTGTCAGTTTCAGCAAAAACCCACTGTGGAACTCTGACATGAATTTCAATAAATTTGTATCTCTTCATTGTCATTTAGAAAATTGAGATGAAATTCACATACCATACAGTGAAMCTTCTTGAAGTTAACTTTATTGGTATTTATAGCATTTACTGTGTTCTGTGATTGTATCTGTATCCAGTTTCAAAACCTATTCATTTTTTCTCAAAAGTATATGTACCATGAAATGAACACACCCCTCTTCCACACTCCTGTACTCTGATTTCTGTCTGCATGGTTGTGCCTACCATGGATAAATAATGAAAGACCTTGTGGCAATGCAACCTTTTGTTTCTGGCTTCTTTTATTCTATATAATGCATTGGCGACTCATCTAAGTTGTAGCAAGTATCACCATTTTGCTCTTTTGTGTGGCTGAGTGCTTATCTTTTTTATTGTGGACATACTATGATTTAAAATTTTTGATAGAATTCACCAGTATATCACACAATCCACCTTTCTTTTGGGGGAGTTTGATTACAAATTGTCTATCTTAAGTTGTTGCAGTCGATCATGTTTTGCATACTGACCTTGAATCCGTGTTTGTAATTTGTGTTTCTATTACATTTTCCTGTTATTCAGATTATCTTATTCGCTGTTGTACCGTAATTTAAGGTAATCTCTTGTTGCCATTTTTATTTCTGTAAAATCAATAGTTTCCTGCTATCATGTGTGAATTTATTTGTGCTTAGTCCAGCTAATGATTTGGGACATTTGCCTACAGTTTCTGAGAAGCAGTATTTGGTTTGAGTGAGTGTTCAGCTGTTTTCCCACTCTGTTTTTCATTTCTTTTTTTCCCTCTCACAATCACATTGTCATTCTAAGAGGTAATGAAGCTCTGTTTTTCCTTTCTGTGGGCTTTGCATTCAGCCTGCTCTTATCTTCCTAGTCCCAGGTTGAGAAGTTACATTGTACTTGAGCTCTTGTCTTCCCTTTGTAAGTTCTACCCCTCTAAGTTTCCCATTAAGAACTGGTTTTTGCTTCCTGTCAGTGTTTTGTTGTATAGTATTTTGTTTCCTTTACATCGCAGTCCTATCTAGTTTTCCTAGTGATTCCCCCTTTAACCCATTAGTTGTAGAAGAGCATGTTGTGTAATGGAAGATTTTCCTTCTCTCCTTGAATTCTAGTTGCATTTTATTGGGATCAGGGTAGATATTATCTATGATCATGTGATTTTAAAATTTATCGAGAATTGTGTATGTCCTACCACCTGGACTGTCCTGGAGAATAGAAGGGTTTATTTTCTCTTGAGAAGAATGCATATTCTTCTAGTTTCTCTTCATTTGTCAATGTTTACCTCATACAAGTTGAGCTCTATTGATGGATGGATATGCATGTGCACAATAACATTACATATCTTTGATAATGTCTTAACTGATCAACATTTTTCTATTGAAACTTTTAAATTTCCTCTCTTTTTCTTTGTTTTTAATTTTTTTCTTATTATTTATCATGTGGTTTTCTCTTAACATGGTCAATGTTAATAGTCCAGGTTGAGTTGATTCTAAGCTTCAAATTGCATACAGATAGTCTTACTCTCATGCAAACTCATCTTTTATTGTTCTTGTTATTAGTCACAATCTATATCTTTAAA